AAGCAAAAAAAATACTACAATCTACTGTTAAATATTTTACATTTGCTCTCAATTGTTCACTTTATGATTCTTAACCTTGAAATACGTAGTTTTAAACTATTATCTCAAATTTTTATAGGTGCTCCCTAATTTTGGCCATGGCTGTAAATATATATATATATATATATATATATATATATATATATGACTGTTTGAAGAAAGATATTTCAGGTAACTTTAAGGAAAAGTTATTTTCATAAATAAATTCACTTATTTATTCAATAATTACATAAGATTTGATTAAATTTGAAGAAGTATTTGTTATTCATTTGCATGAAATTGTATTCGTCTTGGTTTTCAAAACTATTTAATTTTGTGATATGAAAAAATATCCCTTTCCCTTGAGAAGCGAATACTCATCTTGACTGTGATACCCGAGAAGTGGAGGATGGATTTCTGCTGTTGTTGCGAAAATTCTCGGAATTTTAAGCAGAAACCCCTTGTTCACTCCACATATTAACTGCATATTCTTCGTAAATTATTTCTCTCTTGTCGTTATGTAACTGAGGACCAGGCGAAAAAACAGGGTGTGAAATGTACGTTTTTCTTTTGACAAAGAAACTTACGGCCGTAGCACATTGAAATACCGGTTCTCAAAAAAATAGATCGTACAGAGTTGGCTGACCGCTTGAGAATAGCACATGTTTTATGTTTGGATGTCCGTTTTCTGTAATAACTAAATCTGCGAAATTTGAATTCAGAGTACCGACTTCCAGTTGAGTTCGATATATTTACTTACTCGCTATACATTTTAGAAAGGTATGTATTTATTTTTAGCATCTAGATATTCATAGTAGGAATCATAATTATCTGAAAAAATTCTTAAAATCTAAAGATTTTTTTAAACAATAACTTAGAAAGGTCTGCCTCTATTTCTGAGATGAAGTATTGTAATTATTAACATTATTTACATTGTTCGGACCGTGTCCTCATCTTTAATGCTATATTCACGATGTTTCGGTCTTTGTACGCACCAGCTTTGTTTGGGTGATTGGAATTTCGAAACCAGTGGTTTGGATTGGTTAGGTTTGTTTTGTTTTACAGCATATCAACCTCAATGTCTTATTTAATGCCGACAAAATTTTCATCGTTGGTAATGTTTTTTTTTTTTTTGTTTTGTTTTTTTTTTTTTCCAAAAATCTATATCTGGTCATATTTTTTCGTTCCAAAATCTATTTCTGGTAATATTTTTCCTTCGATGGTAATATTTTTTTTCAAAAAAATTGTATAGCTGGTAATGTTCGTTTCCAAAAATCTATTTCTGGTAATATTTCTTTTCAAAAATGTTTTACTGGTAATAATTTTTTTACAAATTATTTCTGGTATTAAAACCTATTTTTACACTTTTATAGTTATTTGACCCCAGTTTGGGCGTTTACTATTTGCCTATACGTAGGACCCTAACATGTGCTACCACCCAGGGTCAAGGTGAATCTGGGAACACCAGCAATTACGAGATGGTTCTACGCGTCCTCAGAACCTTTTGATCAGAGGTCTTGCTGTTGGACGTAGTTTATCGTCATACACAGGCCACAGGTGTAGTTTATCGTCATACCCAGGACGGTGGAAACCAGTGGATAAATGGTAGTTGGATTCAGTGATTTGAACTGAAGAATTGTGAGTTCAATACCTAGCTACTACAATGGTGAAGAAAAACTTGGCGAGTTGAATTAAAGGAAAATAGCCATCCGGAAGAGGCATGACACTTGGAACAAGAACAATCTACCTCGGTGGACGAAATAAAGGGTTCAGTTCGAAACTCCGATCACCTGAAAAAAGCCGGAAAGATATAGAAGATTAGCGCGTGTTAATGACACGGAATCGTCTCATTTATTAGCTATACCTGTTAAAATTTTCCATTATATACGTTTCTTTAAATTAGCCATTTGAAACCAGAATCCCTGATGAGAACAAATCTCCTAACTTTGGGCCCAGTTGTTCATCACATAAACCTGTATAAAAATCTGACCGATATACCGACTTCCGGAGTATATGCACTTTCCACAGTACCTATTGATCAAAGAGTTAAGGAAAACTATATTTACTTGCAAATATATAATTTAGCTCTTTGTTTTTGCTAATGGTATAAGTTTTAAATAATGTCACGCTGGATTTATCATATAATTCCGGAATATATTTGACTATTAAAATTGTTGCAATCGAAAGCCATAGAAATAAGAGAAGAGTCTGTAAAAGAAGTAACAAAAGTGAATTCTTTATTATATTTTTAAGGAAACAATTTTTTGATCACAGTCGTCTAGCTCAGAAAAGTTCACTGGAAAAAAGAAAATATACACTGTGTAACGAATTATTAACGAGGTGACAAGTTTCCATTTTGTCCAAAAACTACACGTTGTGATTCAACACAATGTTGACAGAATGATGGGCAATAGTTGTGGTGAAGGATTTCTGCAGAACCAAGCACACGTTTTGAAGGGCCGAATACAGAGACCTAAGGCACTATGTTCCACAAGATCCCCAAACGACCCTCCGCAGGTTTTGAGTTCAGACTTGTCCTTCACCTTGACCAGTTGCCATCCAAGACTAAAGAACACAGTCTGTCCCGCTGTTTACCCAAAGCTGAAGGGAGAAGAAGAGGATTAATGCCTTTCTCAATATAGTGATTTTCTAACCGCGGCTTAGATATGGCACAAGGCCGAAAGTATAGGGCAGCCAGAGGATCGAACTCACTACTCAGTCGTAACGGATCTAGCAAGACAAGCTTTCTAACCATTACACCACGTCGAAGTGTCCAAAACTTTCCCAATATGTATGTCTATGTGTCTGAGAGAAAGAGGCGGAGGGAGGGCGAGAGAGAAATTGAAAATAATTATCCTATTCTTTTTAATCGGAATTTGTTTTTCATTTTGAGATTGACACTCATGTTTAAAAACGATGCCCGACATTGTATCTTCCATGTTAATCTATTTTGACCTATGTACATTTGTTCCTTTTTTTTCATAAGATACCCATTTAGAAGGCAAACACTGCTAATAGCTATATAGGATGGGAAATTGTGCAGAGCCATGGTTACCCAAGTCCTGATGTAACAACTCACATAGAATCGAAATTTGCGCAAATCTTAAAGAAACTCCGCTGCTGATATCGGTGAGCTTTGAGTAAATGACAAGAAATGGCAAATTAAACAAAATAAGATATATTTAATAGGTAATTTTAAACTGCATTTAAAAAGTCTACCTGATCTGCGGGTGCTATATTAATAATATCCATTCATCGCAGTCAATTATTCTATTTCAAATCTCTCGAACAAATTATGGCGTTCATATGATTTAGCCGGTGGTAAATTTATAATAATAATAATACTTTCTGTCGAGACAAAAATCTTAAGAAAATTAAAAAGTTTAATGTCTCAAATGGAAGAACGACAAAACCCGGAGAAAACAATTTATCTCCAAATACAAAGGTTGGTGATAAGAATGTTATGTGTATTTTTTTTTTTCATTTACTTTCCAATCTCAGACGAGAGCATGCGCAGTCAGTTTTTATGCAATTACATCTCCTGAACAAAGGGTAAAAGAAATTGAAAACGTTTATTTTAATAATACTGTTTTATATGTTTTTTTTTAAGTATATTTTTTTGATATTTGTTTTTTTTTTTTTTCATTTTCCTTTCATTTCCTTTTATCATTTAAAGTTTGTGACTCTTATTTGACGCAGAACCTCGTATTATGAATCGTAAATATCTTCATTTCCTTCTATTTTGTCTTTAAATAGTACACAGCCCTCCACACTTACATGTGCTTATTACCTTTCTGAAAATGACAAATGTAAATTTGATCTCAAATTGTTAGGAAAGTAATTCAAAACACATTTATATAGAGTTTTTGATGTACAACTTCAAAATAATGACTAAGTCGATGATGTGATATTTTTCTTAAAGGATTTTTTTCTTTTAAGCATATCACCCCAAGTAAGGTGGGAGTGTTACTAGCACACAAAGATTTTGCAGAGAGTGAGAGCAAGTGTAAAGAAGGGTGTTTTGGAGAAGGATAGAGAAGGACGGTGATCAAGATCAAGGCTTAGGAAGATGTCGATTGACATTACATTTGAATATTTGAAGATTATAGCCAACAGGGAAGCAAGTAAGTGGAAGAAATTTCCACTATCGGGAAGTGCCAGAGAAGAATCTGTTGTATTAGAAGAGACGGCTATATTTGAATGTTTCGACAGACCAAGATGCCAAACATGTAGCACACTTAAATTCATGCAGCTGGGGTACCAGTAAAAGTAACTCATCAGAGCAGTTACTATGAAAATATTTGTAGAAATGACAGTGGGAAGCCGCAGCACGTCTAAGACTGAAGACAATATGCCAGATTGCATATCCGTCTAGATTTTGTCGAGGACCTAGATTTGAAGGATGGAGTTAGGCGAGAAAAATCTTCTGGCGCGACACAGAGAACCAACTTTTCTCGAATGATTTAAGTGACAATTTGTTGCTGTATGTATATCAACCATGTAGACCACACAGGTTCACAGCCTCACAAAGCTAAGTGTTACTGCTGTGAATTCCCTAGAAATTATATTTAAACGCGGTAACGTTGATAAAAAAAAACCTCATCGACTATCCAAACAAAACTATATAGATTTAAAAGTTTTCTTAGTAACCCTAAGCGCGTGGCAATTACGGCCATATCAGGTTGAAGCACCGGTTCAAGTATGTGCATTGAAGTAAAGCAACGTCGAGCCTGGTCAGTAACAATATGGGTGACCGCTTGGGAATACCAAGTGTAAATGCGCTAGCTGTATAATGAGCTGACGGTCTCATCTAGTTGAAACAAGAGTTCCCGTACGATCACCGAAGTTAAGCCATGTCGGTACGGGTCAGTATCTAGATGGGTGACCACTTAGGAATATCTCTAGATGGGTGATCACTTAGGAATATCTGATGCAGTTAGCTTGGATATGCGCGTGATATAATGACCTTACGCTTAAATCACGTTAGAACACCGGTTCCTGTACGATCACCGAAGTTAAGCAATGTCAATACGTGTCAGTAGCAAGATGGGTGACCGCATGGGAATATGGTATGCTGTAAGCTTGGATGTGCGATTGCTATAATGAACTTTACGCACACATCACGTTGAAATACCGGTTCCTGTACGATCACGAAAGTTAAGCTATGTCGAGCCGAGACAGTCCCTAGGTGGGTAACCGCTTGGGCATATTTCCTAGATCTGTCTATATTTCAGAGATGAGGTAATGTAACTATTTGCACTATTTACATAGTTTCTGAACGATTTCTCATCTTTAATGCCATATTCACGACGTTTCGGTCGGTGTACGCTCCGGCGTTCTTCAGGGTATGTCTTTATTTCTGAGATGAGGGATTGCATGTATTTACACTATTTACATAGTTTCTGAATGATTTCTCATCTTTATTTCCATATTCCCGACGTTTCTGTCGTTGTACTCTCCGACAATCTTCAGGGGATATACGTTGGAATTTCTAACCTAAACCACAGGGATTGATTACAGAGTGGATAAAAGCGTTAATTAAGTAATCCAAAACGTCACTTTACAGGAAGAGTTGTGATTTCAATACATGACCACAGCAGAGGGTATAAAACTTGGAGAGTTGTGTTACTAAAGTGAATGAACTAATATTGAGATATCCATAGAAAGTTATGATACGTGGAATTAGAACAATTTACAACCGCTGAGTAAATAAAGGGTCCGCTTCGAAATTCCGAAAAATATCACCTGAAGAAGGCCGGAGAATACAAGAGCCAAAACGTTGTGAATCTGACAGAAAAGATGAGATCAAAAGTTCGAACAATATAATAGGGAAAATATAACGATGTTCTTTCTCTTCTTAAAAGGAAATCCATTCCGTTAAAGGTTTGTCAGTTGAGAGTATAAACCAGGTTAAATATTCGTCCAGGTCCTTACAACGTTTCCCCTTTGCTGACAGATCTGCTATTATCCCAATGTGAGATACTTAAAGGCAAAAACAATATTTAAAAAAAAACGCATTGTGAAACTGAATGAGATCGACTCGGCTGTGTGTCCAGACACGTCTGACAAAAAGAATAAAAAAATTAAAAATCTGATTATATTTCAATGATGAGGTTTTGTAATTTTTTACACTATTTACATTGTTCGGACTTTTATTACCTTCGTTTCCATATTCATGACGTTTCAGCCGTTGTACGCCCCGGCCTTCTTCAGCATCTGTCTATATTTCTGACATGTGCTGTTGTTATTATTTACACTATTTACACTGCTCGGACTGTTGCCCTCGTCTTCGTTGCTATATTCATGACAATTCTGCCGATGTACTCTCCGGATTTTGCAGGATATGTCTATATTTCTTTGACGTGCTATTATAATTATTTACACTATTTACATTGCTCGGGCTGTTGTCTTCATCTTCATTGCCATATTCATGACGTTTCGGCCGTTGTACACTCTGGCCTTCTTCAGAATCTGTTTATAATCCTGAGATGAAGTATTGTAATTATTTACACTATTTACATTGTTCGACTGTTGTCCTCATCTTCATTGCCATATTCACGACGTTATGCTCCAAGGACACATGGCTCAGTGCACAAAAGCGTTGCTTGATTAATCCTAAAAGTGACGAGGCAAAGAGTCGTGAATTGAACCCCTAGATTCGGCGGAGAGAAGAACTGGAAAAGTTGAATTATCAAGTGGGGATTTACCGAAATTGACATATCCAATGCATAGCATGTGGAATTAGAACATTTCACCCCTAGACTAAATAAAGATTTCGGCTCGAAATTCCAAAATATATCACTTGAACGAAGGCCGGAACGGCGTGAATATGTCAAAAAAGATAAGGACAACAGTCCGAGCAATGTAAATAGTGTAAATAATTATAATATCTCATCATAGAAATATAGACAGACCCTGAAGAAGTCCGGAGCGTACAACGACCGAAACGTCATGAATATAGCAACGACGATGAAGCCAATAGTCCGAACAATGTACATTTTGTAAATAATAGCAAGAGCACATCTCAGAAATATAGACAGATCCTGAAGAAATCCGGAGCGTACAACGACCGAAACTTCATGAATATAGCAACGAAGATGAAGCCAACAGTCCGAACAATGTAAATTTTGTAGATAATAGCAACAGCACATCTCAGTAATATAGACAGATCCTGAAGAAATCCGGGTTGTACAACGGCCTAAACGTCGTGAATATGTCAACAAAGATGAAGACACCAGTCTGAACATTGTAAATTTTGTAAATAATAGCAACAGCACATCTCAAAAATATAGACAGATCCTGAAGAAATCCGGGGCGTACAACGGCCTAAACGTCGTGAATATGTCAACAAAGATAAAGACACCAGTCCGAACGATGTAAATAGTGTAAATAGTTATTTTCTAGGTATATAATGTTTTGTACTTGTTTGTTCCTTTTACTGACAACGATGCGTCTTGTCTGCTGACAAATAATGTTTAGTTCTTTCTTGTCGCTTTCCTTTATTATCAACTCTACGAGTTCTTCTAATTTACTTTCTGTGTCTGCTACCAACACTTGTATCGTTTACATATCTGATGTTGTTAATGGCTAATAGTGAATCCGGGAAGGATGTCTAATTCTCACAGAATTACTTCACTGTAAAGTTTGAACAAGTCTGGTGAGAGGACACATCCTTCTCGTTTTATTTTTGTGTATTTGCTAAATTCATTAGTGTAAACAAATTGTGTATTTTTGTCTGTAGACGACATGACTGCAGTAGGAACACCAGCCAGAGTTAACGCAACATTAAAATGTCTGAAATTCCAGTTTTACAGAAAGAGACGAATCAATTTTCAATTTAGGTGATCTCGTCTGAGTTTCTGTTTAATATTCAGATTAAAATTAGAAAAAGAATGTTATTTTTTTAATAAATTTACTCTGATTACTATCTTTGGTGTCGGACATGGAAGTAGTGAGGGGAAATTCTATTCTTGAGACAAGATGCTAGCAAGACAACTCAAGAACTTTTCGGAGAACAAAATTGCAGGTCTGTAGAAAACATCCATCTTTTACTCTGCGAGACTAAAAGATGGAAGTTTTCTACAGCCCTAAAATCTTGGTCTTAATTCTTATTTTCATAAGTGCTCTATAATAATAAGTATAACAATAATAACTGTTGTGGCTTGTTTAGTGACCAGAAAGAAAGACACGGAAGACGAAGGTAGGTTGAACAAGTGTATTGAAATAATAGCTATATACAAAGCATAGTGTTAGTAATAAGCAGATAGAGGTGTACGTACGAACGGTAGGTTAACACTGCGTCTACACTATATTTAACAGCCCTCACCCACAACGAGGGCTGTATATGGCACAAGGCCGAGCTTACAGCGGGTTCTCCGAGCCCGTAGGCTCGGCGAAATATATTCCCTTAGAACCCGTATAAACGGGTTCAGGGTCTGTCTACCTCCCCGGACTAAACTCTGCTCTTCGGCATAGCTTCATCAGGGTTCCTCTCTGCCAAGGCGGAGAATTCGACAGAAGTCGCACACAGTCAGACACTGCGTCTACGCTATATTTAACAGCACCCCAACGAGGGTTGTATGTGGCACAAGGCCGAGTTTACCGTGGGATCTCCGAGCCCGTAGGCTCTGCCAAAAAATATTCCCTTAGAACCCGTATAAACGGTTTCAGGGTCTTTCTACCTCCCCGGACGAAACTCTGCCCTTCGTCATAGCTTTCGTCAGGGTTCCTCTCTGCCAAAGCAGAGCGTTCGCCAGAAGTCACACACAGTCAGAGACTGCGTCTACGCTCCCCAAAACGACTCTCGCGGTTAGTATTTATGAGAGGAGGAAGAGTTCATTCTACTCTAGGAGGGTTTATCACAACATTGGAAAATATGCAAGAAGCACAAAATCGAAACCACTGAGAAATTGTATGAGCATCCACCAGACAGAATTACCCCAAATAACGATGTAACTATTCTCTGGGACATTCCAATTCAAACTGACAGGGAAATAAAACAAACCTACCTGTTATTATCATAAAAGGCAAGAAATTCAGGAAGTGTATGCTTATTGACATAGCAGTAACATCCGACAGGAACAACTCCATAAAAATTACCGAGAAAAACTCTCCAAATACAAGGAACTGAAAATCGAGATTAACAGGATGCGAGGAATGAAGACTGAGACTGTACCAATAGTAATCGGAGCACTGGTCCTCGTGAGAAAAGGAATGATCAGTTTTACTAACAGTGTTCCACGTAACATCAACATACAAGTTGCCCAGAAAATAGCCCTTCTAAGAACACCCTAAGAAAAGTGCTATCAAATAAGTGACTATTCTCCTATAGAGCCTAAGGACCATAGTTTAGAGCCGGCTCTACGGGATACAACACAGGAAACATAACATACACAAATAATAATAATAATAATGATAATAATAATAATAGTAATGTAACTATTCTCTGGGACATGACAATTCAAACTGACAGGGAAATAAAAGTCAACAGACATGACATTATCATAAAAAAAAACAAGAAATTAAGGAAGTGTATGCTTATTGACATAACCGTACTATCCGACAGAAACAACGCCATGAAAATTATCGAGACATTGTCCAAATACAAGGATATGGAGATCGGGATAAACAAGATGTGGAGAATGAAGACTGAAACTCTACTAATAGTACTCGGATCTCTGCGCCTTGTGAGAAAAGGAATGGGCAATTTTACTGACTGTGTCCCAGGCAACATCAACAAACAAGATCGCCCTACTAGGAACATCGCATATACTAAGAAACCTGCTGTCAATTAAATGATAATTCTCCTATAGGGCCTAAGGTCCATAGTTTGACTCCGGCTCTACAGGATACAAAGCAGAAAATATATAATAGGCAAATAATAATAATAATAAGTAGCAAAATTCTCGTCTTACGAACATTTCTGTTAATAATTCAACAGATGATGTTATTTTATTTATGGTAACTGGGTTTTTAGCGATTGCCTTATTCGATTTCCATCATTCGATATTGGGCGTCTGAAAAAATGTCGCTTTTGTCGCGGCCGCAATCACATCACGGCATTTAAGCACGCAGAGGTTGA